CCCCCCCACCCCAAACTACAAATAGCATGGTAGTTAGTAATGCCATCTCACACACAGAAAGCATAAAGACAAGTCAAGAAAAGTGGTGAGTTTTGTACACAAAAAAAAAAGGTTACAAACTCACACTCACACACACATCCCCAAGAATAGACAAATAAAAAATAAAAGGTTCCGTAAGTAAAAAAAAAAAGATGATGAGGTGAGTGTATGTATGAATTTCAGTCAGCCAAGAATCAAACAAGGCACACCTTCCCACATTACATAGAGTACACATGATGCACCCCCCCGCCCCCACCTCCCCATGTTCATAAACAAGGATTTTTTTTGTACATAGGCGAGTAGTTGGCCCTATGCACGACAGCGGGGTATAGTTCTGTGTCCACGCTGTACAAAACTGGTGGAGACAAAAACGTGGGGTACTAAGCGATGGGCGCTTGCAGGAAGCTATGGCCATAACAACCAGGGGGGAACATCATCAACAACAACAAATACGAACATGGGGAAGAAGAGGACACCAAAGACACAGTCAAGTCACAAAGGCAAAGAGTGGCAAAAGTTGTAAAGAAGACGCAATTCATTAACTATCCACACACGTAGCACCGATAAATTCATCACCTAACCAAGGTAGGTATGCACTTAACACCCTAACCATCCGAAGCGCCGAGGCAGCGACAGATGACCAAAGAGCAAGCCCAATGCTACCCAGCTAAGCAAGCATGCAAAAGTTATGAACACATTTATAAGACATTGTGGTCATGAGGATACAAACGCCCAAGAAGGATTGATTAGAGAACGTTTGGATAAGACCTGAATGATGTTAGACGATATGAAGGTAGCATGGATAGAAGTAGAAGACATACCGTTGAGTGAAACCATCTACAGCCTGGAGCCGTGGACAACCTTGAAGTCAACAGCCATCTCCATACCATCGTCGTTGATGACGAGGATGCGGACGCTGCCACGGCCGTTGTCAAAGGCCTCTGTCAAGCGGGAAAGGAGACCAGACTGGTCAAGGACGGGAAGACCCTGCTTGACATCACCACCCTCGGTCATGGCGACGACACGACCGTCCTCGCGGATGTCGAGAACACGGTACTGCTTGAAGACAGGACCAAGCATGTTCTGGACAACGACAGAGGGGGCAGGGTTGGAGATGAAGCTGGACTCCTCATGGAGCTGCTTGGTGAAGAGGTCAACACCGAGGTAGCGGTGCTGGCCAGTCTGGGAGGAGGTGGTGATGCGGATGACCTGGCAAGGGCGGCCCTGAAGGATCAGGAGATCGCCAATGCGGATGTGGTGGCAGGGGATGGTGATGGTGCTTGCGGTAGACATCTTGCGGACTGAGCGAGCAGGGACTGGCGCGGTTGCGATAGACTTGGAGGCGGGAGCAGGTGCGACAGAGACGGACCTGGGGGCTGGGGGTGGGACTGAAGAGTGGACGCGAACGACACGCTCTACAGGAGTTCCGGAGTGGATGGGGTGGGCAGGGGCAACAGAAGGAGCAGCGGTGGTGAACTTCTCCTTAACGATAACCTCCTCGCGTTGGTCGTCGTACTTGGCTCCGGCGAAAGAGTGCTCGTGAGAGTGGTGGTGGCGGTGAGGGTGGATGGGGTGCTGAACGCGGTCGGCTACCTTGTGTGCGGCGTTGGAGATTCCTTGACGAAACGAATGGTACTTGCCCTCGTTGTCGTAATATCCCATATCACGCTTGAACTTCTTGGGGGGTGCAGCAGCGGAACGAGCAGATTCTTCTACTCGGACCTCGGTTTGATGAGAGTCAACACTGTCTACCTTCCTGTTGTTGGGATAGGCACCGCGTTGGGTGGTGTAGGTCTCCTTGGAGTAGCTGGCACCGGCGACGATGGGTCGAGTACGTTCACGGAACTGACGCTCAGTGAGGTCGAGTTGAGATTGAGTGACGGTGGTGGCAGGGCCTTGAACAGTGTTGAAGTGTCTGTCGTAGGTTGTGTCCTGGACCTCGACTTTTGAGTGTGAAGAGGAAGGAGGAGGTTGGGATTGGTAGCTGAAGGAAGAAAGGAAAGTCAGCTTGGGGTTGGGCAAGGAAGAGCTTAGAGGAGGTGAGGGAAAAGTGGGGACTGCATGTCGCTAGGACAACAACAAACTAATGAGGCTAGCGTGGCGAGGGGGCTGGGTGCCGCTAGCGTCAGGGGGCTGGTCTGTTGTGATGATCCGTGCGAAGATGCGCTGGCAAAACAATGGAGCTTACTTACCGGTCGTGGGATCGTTCAAACTCTACACGGTCCGTCCGCTGGGCGTGCTGAGCTTGCTCAGGGTGAGGCTGGGCGTGAAATTGAGTGGCGTGGGACTGAGCGTGAGAGTGAACGTGCGATTGAACGTGCGACTGAACGTGCGACGGAGCGTGCGACTGAGCGTGCGACTGAGCGTACGACTGAGCGCGTTGCTGCTGGGGCTGGGCTTGAGCTGGGACTTGGGCTTGGGGCTGAGCGTAGCGGGTGTGCTCGTGAATATGAACCTCTTCACGGTGCTGAGCAGGCTGCTGCTGAGCGTGAACGTGCTGGTGAGACTCTTGATAGTGCTGGGACTGAGCAGGCTGAGAACGGCGGATTCGCTCTTGTTCGTAGATGTGAACCTCTTCCTTGACCTGAGTGTCGTGGCGACGCTTAGAGCGAGAGGAAGAAGACGACGAGGATGATGAAGACGACGAAGATGAAGAAGATGAAGACGAGGTGGTCGATTTGGGAGGAGGAGGATGTGGCCGATGGACGGTGGTAGCGGAGAAGGATTCGTGGATTTCTTCGTGACCTTCCCGTCCGTGTGAAGCCTGGTATTCAAGATGTGCTTCTTGTTCTACCTGACCACTTGTAGAGTCCTTAACTTCCGCGTTCCGATACGCAGACGGGAAGACACTGAAGGGGATCGGAACCTACTTGAATTAGCACAAGTCCTTATTTATTCAAATCTGGGGCGCGGGGAAAACGGCGTACTCTTGCTTCAAAATCCAGTTTGACGGAGTCTGGTCGTTCTTGCTTGAAAACCCTTCGAACCGTTCGAAAACAATTCGAAAGGAATCAAGAAAGAACTTCTTGGCTCCTTTTTAAGGTCTCACGTGGAGAGGAATTGGTGATGGGCGATTTTACTCGGAGGGCGCCAGCTTTGTGGTGTTGACGTGCAGCAGCTTGAAGATGCGCAATTGGATGCAGTAAGCGGGGTGTCGTAGTGGTGGAGGAGAGATGGAGTCCGGAAAAACGACGAGGGGATCAAGTAGATTGGCGGTCAGTTAGGCCTCTGCTGGGTGTGCCGTCTCGTCTCCGCAGGGTTGTGGAGGCTGGGAAGCTCTTACAGAGCTGTCCCAGAGCGGAAAGGTCTTGTTTACGCCGGGCACTAGCGCATAGCAGTATCCCCTTTCCTGCCTGTGCCGTGGGCGGACAGAGGCCTGGCATGCATCAATTGACGGCCCTTTTGGCACCGAGGTAATTGCTGACGCGCCATTATCCCTCTACGGCTGTTGGCCCGGCGATGCATGGCCCAAGGTGTCCCAAGGTGTCCCAAGGTGTCGCAATCGCTGCTCTCCATCAACGCGCTGCTCCACAGGGCTGCCGGGAGCTTCCCCGACCTGGCTGGAGCGCCATTGATCATTGCCGCCAACAGACGACCACACGAGGGCCGGGCGGTCTTGTATTGCGTGTGCATCTGCAATTGGAGCCCGCCCAGCCTCTGTAATGCGTCATGTCGTCGATAATGCGCACATACGCGCCATTTTCAGCTGAGCCTGTCCATGTTGCACCGCAGCCAGCTCTGCATAGCTCCAGCCTCTCCCCAGCCTCCCACTTTTTGGCGCGTCGCCATTGGCTGTCGGCGCGCCCAAGCTGCAGCGCCCGAGCTCCGTGGCTTGCTGTTGATCACGGATCCTCCGGACTATCACGTGAAAAGCTCTGCTCAGCTCGCTTGCCCCGTGTCTGTGTTTGTGTCTGTGTCTGTGTCCGTGTCCGTGTCTGTCCATGTCAACAAACAGCACCACCCACCACCCACCCAGGCGAACCGTGGTTCTCCATGGCCGCATCATCCATCGTTCCCCATGGTGTGCGCCCAGCCCTGACATGCAGCACGCGCGGCACCTCCAGTTTCATCACAGTGGACCGTTTTGCCCATCGCCACCCCCATCCGCCCAATTGTCCACTCTGTCAATGTCGCTCATGCCTGCCATGCTCTTCCCGTTATTGCCCGCATCCCAGCATCTTGTCGTGAACTGACATGTCGACAGCCCACCAAGCAGGGTTCCCCATGGCCCTGTTGCGACGACATATCAAAAGTCCCTCTCTTTGCTCCAAAAATCTCCATTTCTCCGTCTGCTTGTCACAGAAAAACCGGTTTGTCTGGCTGCGTTGTCACCTTTCTTTTTAGTGAGGCGACAGGCCATCCTGGGACGGTAATTTTGAGGAGCCGCCGTGTCCCCCAACGCCGTCCAAAGAGCAGCGCCCCCTGGCCGGACTGCTCGGCTTGCCGAGGGCCCGTGTATCAGGTCTCGACATCGATCTCGTATAGATGAATCGGCGCTTCTGAGTCGTGCTGTGCTTGTTTGTTTATTTGTTTGTTTATTTGTTTAGTCGTGTATTTGTTGATGTGTTTGCAGGTGGTGGGTTGTGAGTTGCCTCGCTCGCAGTATTGTGTGTCTCGGCTATCCAGTGGCAGCAAGAGCAGACTGCAAGACCCGGAAACTACCCTGCACCAGCTCTCTAGCCCCGCAGCACCGCAGCCTCCAACTTCCCCGGAACAACAAAGCAATAGTGCCATGTATGGGCTGCTTACCAACTAATCAATGTCTGTCTAAGCACGCTTATCATCTTGCACTAGGTTAAATGAGCTGCGAGGCCTCGCTTCATGCTGTAACACCTGGACGCAGTTGGTTGCGTTAGTCTTGATGGAAGAATTTCCCATTCAAGCCCGTGCAAAGTTGTTGTATACACTTAGCTGCAGATACCATCGATGTTTGTTGACTGATCAAACCACGGAAAAGTCCAAGAACGAGTCGACCTTTTGTTGAGTACTATCTCATAAGTCATCCATGGAACTCGATCTTCAATAGTGCTCTTGACCATCAGGCGTCGTTACCAAAGAAATGTCGGTTAATAGAATCATTGGCGCAAAGAATAGTAATCCAAACTATGAGAACGTCTTGCCTTTTAGATATAGCAAAAGAAATCTTAACAAAAGAATACTTATTCGATATGCTTATAAGAATAATTGATTATCACAAGGTAGTTGTCATACGACTGAGCGGAATGTGCTAGAGTCTGAATATCAATATTGTTCAGGCTCTCAGACACAGTGGAAACAGTCTACATCTAGCAATGCGTAATACAACCTGATAAAGTTAAATTCAGCAAGGATATTACTACATGTTGAATAATGACAAACTACAAACTAGATCTATGCAGTCATAAGCAAAACATTCATGTTTGTTCTACACCTATATGTAGCCTCATGTGAAGTACTACCAACATAACATAACAATTTACCAATTACAAGAACTCCATCTTCCTTAAAGAAGCAGTTAGAAAACTAAAACCCTCATTCATACATTCCAAAGTTAACCAGCCATTTCATACATCCTTGTTACTTCCCGTTTCCTATAAAAAAAAATCTCCAAAAAAATACTAACAAATTCACAAACTCTTTACTCCAAGACACACCTATTCATTAAACCCTCACCAACAAGACAATCCTACCCTCTGCCAAATAATTTATTCAACGAACCTAGTATTAAATGAGTCACACTAGATCTACTAAGTTTATCATGCATTCCCCTGTTCTCCTCTTATAGACGAACGAAAATAAAACGTAAGAAAAAAAAAGAACAAGTGACTAAAGTAAACAAAGCAGTCAAAACAGTCACCATCACTAATTTCCACAAGTAAAAAATAACCAGATAATCAACACTGTCATGTTATCTACCTTTTTTTCGATTCAAGAAAAAAACCCCACCATGTCTATGCCAATACTTGTGATTCCAAAGCGTCAAATGCATTAATTCAAGATATAAACAAATCACTGTCCCCATCTACTTCTCTACTCTCTCAAAAAGGAAAGCGGTGGAAATGTACAAAAGAAGACGTAACCCTACAGCCTCCCCCCCCCGCGTCAATAAAATTCGAGTCTGGGAAACCGATTTTTTTTTTTAAAAAAATAAAATTTGCATCAAGTACTAAATTCTCTACTCAACATCATGAGACTTACCTGCTAAGTCCCTAACAGTCAGTGCCATAAACGACACTTCGACAATCTGGGATATCATAGATACGAATCTCCCTAAGCAGTACTTTTACGCTTATCCATGAGACTCTACACCCAACACTAGACAAACACTACATGTCGGAGCCTCACAGCAATCTATGCATTGCCTGATACGGGCTATGCAAAGTGATCAGATATATTATTTTGGTTCCCAAAAAAAGATAATGGTACAATAGTCAATTCAAGGAGAAAACTAAGAAAGCTTTTCTTCGGCACTAGAAAAAAACTCGAAACCTCCTTTCTACGTTTCGGAAGTCGAAAAGAAATTGGAGCCTTACAAATACCACTATTATCACCATACGAATCAAACGAGCTTGCAAAAAAAAAGTTGTTTCAATTAATGACTTCGGTATCAACCCTCGCCACTCAATTTTTTTTTCATACAGACCCCCCGAACGTAAAGGGGCTATAACTTATACATCCTGAACCACAGCATGCATATCACATGCATTCCAACATGACCCTAATCATAAAAGCCATCCATCCCATCCGCATTATCTTTTCCTAATCCTCCGATCCCCCCTCCCACTATCTCCCAGGTAAGCCCTTCTAAGCCTTGACCGTACTCCTCTTCATTCCCTTCCTAGCATTCTTCTCGCGCTCCTTCTCCAAAAACTTGCGCTGCTCCTCGGCGCTCAAGCGACCTAGCTTAGCGTCGCGCTGCTCCTTCTTCAGCTTGTCCAGAGCGAGCTTGCGCTCCTCGGCCTTTTCCTCATCCTCGGCCTTGCGGATCTTGGCAATTTGCTCATCGCGCGTCTGCTTGATGCGGCGGAGCGCTTCAGGACGGAAGTGAGCAGACGTGGCCAGGAAATCGGGGAGGCGAAGGAAGTACTGGAACAGGGGCATGGTATTTGTGTAGTCGGATGAGTATTTGAGAGAGAGGTGAATACGCTTGCGAGGCTTGGTTTCGTCGAGGCTGTGTCGTGTTAGCTCTGTTTATGTACGAGAGACTGTAAACTTACGTCTTGGGCGCATCAATCGGCTGGTCGGTGACGATAATCGCCTCAAAGTTATCTCCAGCCTGCTCAATGGCCTTGATAAGCTCGGGGGTGAGCAGCATATCCGTAACCTCGGCGCTCTCGCTCATGACGGTAGTCCATACTGGCAACTTGGCGTGGTCGCGGGTGGTGGTCAGAGACAAGTCGTACCGGTCCTCACGCATGCGCTTCATCATATCCTTGTGCACGACGGCAAAGACAAAGCCGTCAAAAGTGCTGTTGGAAACCTTCTTGGCATCACCCTGGCCATATGACGGGGCAATCTTCGTCTCACGGCCATCGAATACATATGCCGTGGCCCCAACACGCTCGACAGGAGGAGGAAAGCTCTCAAAGAATAGAGGAAGTGTGTGGTCTCCCAGCCACATAAAGGGGTTGTAGCCCTTGGAGAACGAAAGCCTGAAATCGACGAAAGCCACGTTCTGGCGTCCGGTCGCATAGGTCTGGAACTCATCGGCGGCCTTCTCCTTAAGCAGGCTGTCGACATCCGTAACAGACTGCTCGGATTGCGGGCGCGTATAGCCGACCTGGGCAAATTCCTGCGTCAGAACAGGGGCGTGTGCCTTGATCCATGTCTTCGCTTTGCTTCGGTTGCGGTTGGTGCCCCAGAGATGGAAAGCAACAAGGAGGAACAAGAAGGGCAGGATGTACATCTCCAGCTGGAAATCATCTATGGATGTGCGCTCCCACACGCGGTACCATGCCGTATACGGTCGGTTCGCGCCGAAGGATGTGGGAGCCGCCTGCGCTGCGCCGGTGAGAGTTGTAACAGGCGAGATGGCTGCGGGCTTGGGATCAGGAGCACTAGCATAGTCGGCAAAGTCTGGTGTTGTTAGCAGCGTGCGCATATCTTGTTGTGTTGCCGCAATGACTGGGCGTGCCATTGTGCGGGCAGCGTGGGGGCTACGTACCATCATCACCAGCAGCTGGGGCAGGCATAGGCTTCTGCCCCCCGAAGAGACCCTTGACGAAGTCTGCCATTGCGTTGACAGCTCCCAATGAACAGGTGTACGTGGAGTTTTGGCGGGCGCAGGAGGTCTGGGGAAGGATCTCGGCTCGGCTTTAGTCCACTGTTGGCACTGACCTCATTTTACAGGAACTAGCCCGTATATGGAGGGGCACAGTTGCGATGTCATTCAAGAACCTCAAGGTAGCACATTATCGTCGACGCCGTATGCGCGTACTTTTTTGCCAAAGTGGAGTGTAAATCATGAGAATATGCATGCTTTTTCCTTGGGTTGCAAAACGGGAATTGTCGAAACAGTAGTCATTGACTAGACAAGCCCTCTTCCGATACAGGTCGCATCCGAAAGGCGACATCGCATTGTCGGGGACCAAATTACCTAGCCAAGTCGAAGAAGGCGGGAATGTTCAACTCAAGTCACTATCACGGTCAGGCCCGGTTCAATGCAATGCCACCGCTCTGCTTTGTTGCATTCGCTTGGTCCTGTAAGCTTCGAGAGCGGGAGACGATATCTGAGAACATCAAGACTAGTATGAGCCGAAAGGCAGAATGCTCTATTGATTCAAATAAGAGAGATGTTGCTACTCTTTGCAAGTCAAGCACTCGTTGGATGCTTGTACATGGATATGGACATGGATGCGTCTCTCCCAGTCCAACCATGTGTATATATCATGCTCGAATTGTACACTCTAGTTCTTGCCAGCCCAGGTCTTGTGTCCCTAGAGAGTTTGTTAGTGGCATTTCTACCATAGGTCGTGTCTACACGTACGAGAACAAGACGGCTCATCATGTACATGCTAGCACCGAAGGTGGTGTACAGGAGGGCCTTGTAACCGGGGACCATCCACTTGCCACGGCCCTGTACCAAACTATGTCAGCAATTATCCTACCACTATGTCGATGCTGGAGGTCGATGCATCTCAATGGTCCTGTCATATGCTCTTCGTGGTCGCATCATAGCCATGTCATGCCATCTCTTGTATCCAGGAACGCACCTTCTCCCAGGTCCTCAGTCCATCGTGCTTTTGGTGTTCGCGCTGCCATTGAGGCACGCGGTTCTCGCGCATAACCCAGCTGCTGGCTGTCAGTGTCGAGCTCTGTGTGTCATATCGGGGGCCTAGAAGCGGCCGGCGCCGCGCTCCCTGCAGCCCAATATGCCGTCTATAGCTCTATACAAGACGTACCCTGCCATTTTGAAGTGTGTAGATGTGTGTTTGCGTGGTTTGCTGGGACAATTGGTGGTTTTGTGGTATGGGCGGTTTCTCTACGTCGCGAGGTCGAATGATCCATTGGCGGAAGAGAGTCGAATGCCAAGGCCCTTGACCCATTTGGGTACAGCAACTTTCCGCATCTTCAGACTTGAGCGTGGGACCGCAAGACAATTGCGGCCGCCAATGGACAAGTATCACCCTCGCATCTTGTCTTGTTGATGCCACCGGCCCTCGACAGGCTCCTCGCAAGCCCGTCGGCCTTGCGACTTCTGCGATCCATTGTCAATGCCTCGGAATTCCCTGCCACTTGCTCAACAGCCACCAAATGCTGCTCTGTCCCTCACCACCGCAACTATTCCAACAATATCACATATCTGACAGGTCCTCTCGCACACCCAAAATGGAAACGCATGAAAGAGGCAGCCTTGGAAGCAGCGCTCCGAAAGTCTGTCCGCGAAGCCCTCCAAAATGACGATGCCAATGACGCAGTCAAACCGACAATCGACATATTTAAGAATCATGCCGTACCTTTGACCACGCGGGAGGACGATCCTACACAGCTCGCTATCGTTCTTGCATATGAAGAGAGAGTTAACGGGGCAGAAGGCGTCCGGAATGTCTGGCGAAGCATTCGTCACCATAGCTATTCACTACCCACCGAGGATACGCCAGACGCCGAGTTTCTATGGGGAACTTTCATAAAGCATCACCAGGTCGTAAAGAAGGCTGTGGAGCATGCAGGAGAATTACTTTGCAAGACGGGCAAGACGTTCCCCCGTTTATACAGCCTAGTCATGAGCCATTGGCTTCCTAGGGAACCCAGGGCAGCGTTGAAATATCACCATGCGCTGGTGAAGAGCCTGAACCTCAAGAAACTCCCCTTGTGCGAATTGGCGCGTTCAGGTCGCCTTACCTTCAAGAATGATGCATACGAAATCTTGAGGGAGATATATGAGCACAGCAACGAACGGAACCTCTATAACGAAGTGGTACCAGCCTTGATAGACAAACGTGCCATCGCAATAGCACGCCATTGGCATATGACTTGCACTGAGCGCGATGACATGCCGTCAGAGAGTGTCGCATTGCACCCCGTTGTTCGCCTCTTTACTGTCGAAGCAGTAGCTCGCAAAGTACAAGTCGATGTGACAGGGACGAGGAAGGTTCTGCACAGTGAAAAAATCAAGTACAGTGAGAAACTTATGCGCCGCTTGTCAGGCCCTGATACTGCACCCGTTCGATTTGAAGACTCATTCGTTGCCCGCATGTTCGCAACGCGGACCTTCCCGCCGGCTTCCGTCATACACGGGCTTTCCATGGTGGGAGTGAACGAAATTGGACCGCTGGCTGTACTCACAATGGCTAGACAGACGCAGCCCATAGAAGAGCTCCAAAGCAGATTCGAAGAGCTTAGGGCTGCTGGTATCGCTTTACAAGGCTGCGTCTTTTCACTAGCTTTGGAGAAGTTTGTTTCGGAGCAGAAGTGGGAGCTGGTGGGTAGCATAGTTGAAAGTGACCAGCATCCAGATGTGTTTGGCGATGCTGAGGTGCAGCGGACACTGCTCGACTTCTACCTTGAACAGGGCGATCGATTGCAAGCTCAGCGTACCCTGGCTATCCTGACTCTCTTTCACAACGATCCAAGTCAAGAGTCCTGGAATTTGCTTCTGCAGACTTGCATCACACGTACTGGACCGGAGCATGTTATGGCAGTACTTCAAGACATGCGGGCTAAGAATATCATATTAACACCGGAGTCAATCATGGCGATCAAAGCCTTACTGCGTCGACGAAGCAGAGGGCATAGACCTGTTGCTTCCTCTCAAAAGACGTATGACGACCTCCGCTTCGTAACACGTACCTTTATGATGATCCTTGAGATGGGAATGGGAGCCATCTCTCCGCTCCACTGGCGCGAGATCATTCGCCGATTTGGCATGGAGGGCAGGTTGAGAGAGCTACGGCGTCTTCTTCTCTGGCTTCTCTGCTGGTACGCGCCCAGGAGCCACCTCCAATTCGCGACATTACCCAAGTCGCCTTTTCTGGAACCAGCGACTGCAAAGCTACGTGCTTTTCACCCAGAGCCTAACCGCTACTTCAACTTTCCCGTTACGGTCACACAACGGCAGAACCAATTTCATCCAGTCAGACAAATCTTCCAGCCCTCGCTCATCCAGGGACTTGTCAGATGGGGATTCAAAGCCGGATTACTCCCCAACGCCACCCTGGAACAAAACATAATCAACTCCAGATTCGCAAAGAAACACTACCGCCGCCGCTTGCTCGAAAACCATCTCATCGGACGTCTGGGCTGGAGTATCGGCCTTCAAACCGTAGTCCAACTGCGCGATCTCGGCGTATACGTGCACTACCATACCGTTCTCAAAGTCCTACAAGAACAATTCGTAATCATGTTCGGTCGGGGTCATTCACGCATCAAAGAGAATAGGATCATGGAGCGCGTCAATACCCGCCCTTACGCCCAGTACATCCGCGAAGTCAACAGAATCTGGGGTAGTCCGCTCTTTCGAGAACCACAGCTCTTCGCGTCGGGAATGGTGCATCACCATATGTGGCATCCGCGTATGCGAAGGAAGATCAATCGCAGGGCTTCTATCAATCTTGTCGACATACTAGGTCCGGATTGGCGGGAGCGGCATAGCGAGTGGCAGGCGATGACGCCCGAGAGCGCTGTGAAAGGCGATGTTACAGAGTCTTTAGATCATTTGAAACGCTCTTTTGCGGTGCAGGCTAAAGCTCTGGATCGGAATCCGGAATCTATTCATCGTTCAACGGGAAAGGCTATGGATGACTTGGATGAAGTTGAGATGGGTGATAGAAAAAGTGTACGCGTTACGAAGGTTACGAGATGATGCTCATCCACCGTATAGCTATATGGATAGTTAGAATCGACTTACTTTAACCACCTGCGCATCTTATATAGTGTTTTCATATCGTTGTGCCCCATCCTTCCATATAATACTCCAGAAATACTCTTGTTTACCTGATACCACTCAACCCCCCCTCTTCGTACACAAGTAATTCCCACTTTCTCACTTCCATCACCTGACATAAAAACACCAACTCATACTCTTTCAATTGAGTCAATAACCACTCGAATTCTTGTTTTACACTGCAAATTGTATATAACGACTACGCATCAGTCCCCTTATACATATCTCCCAAGCTCGTCTCCGTCTTCACCGCATCCTCATGATAATGTGCACTCGCCTTGCTCGCACTCGTATCCAGCTCCTCAAAGCGGCGCAGATCCATGGGCTCCGCCAGCAGCGGAATAACGTACGGATCAAACGTCTTCCAGTACGGGTTGTTGAGGTGGTATTGCTGAGACTACAGTGCACCATACCGTTAGCACGTATCCTCTTTAGTTTATTTCTCCACTGAAAACAAACACGACGAGGAGGGTGTGGAAAGGGAACAAGGCACGAGAAACATATCACGTGCAAACCCTCCTCCTCCTCCTCCTCTCTCCTTCCTCCCAACACTCGTCCCCACAAACCCTCACCACCCAAAGAAACAAACAGAAATAGAGTTAACTTACACTCTCCTGCGCATACCTCTCCACAATACAAAACTTGCGCGGCTCCTTTGTATCCTGCATGACGAACCAGCTCAGCGTCTCTTTATCCTGGCTGTACACCTGGCTAGCCTCGACAAGCTTGGCGCTGAGCTTGCGGATGCATTCTGCATCATCTTTCGCGACAAGGTGGACGACAATTGTATAGACCATTTTCGTAGCTCTTTACTTTTCTTGCTCTTTTCCGTCTGGATGGATAGAGCACGTGAGAACGGATGTGTATGCAGATGCGTATGTAGATGCAAAAGTATACGTAGTGCGGGTAGGTGACGTCAATTGAGCTTTAACCGTGAGGGAAAAAAAAAAGTAGAATGAGAAGAAGAAAAAGAGAAGGAACGCTACCTTCAATGCCCTCACGGAGATTTTTTTCTCACCCGATTTGCAGCCTAGTGACGTATCGGTGTGCATGGGTTTGGGGCGTCGTTGGAATAACAACCCCGCCCCGAGACGGTAAAAAAAGTGGAGTCTCTGTAGAAGAGACGTTAGGTGATCTGCGCTCACCTCACCTCGCGATTCGGAGGATGCTGGTCTCGGACCGATCGGGATTGGGGAGGGAGGGAGAGGAGAGTGGGATGATGAGGAGAAAAGGAGGGTTGAAGAGGGATGGTGGGGTATTTTTCATGGATAGTGGTGTTGAGTTGAGTGTGGGTGTGTCGCTATCTTCATACACACATAGAGCTTTCCGCTGCGTTTAGCCATTGATTGACGAGTAAAGAGACGTATAGCAACAAATGTATATCATCGTCTAGTAAAAGTGTCTTATCATCATTATTATTCCGTACAACCACCAACCTACAGTACAAATACACTACAAATACACTACAACAGCTAATTTGAAAAAGTTTGATTTCGTTACATGTATTAAAACAGACAGGACCAGGAGAAAACATGTGCCTCCCAACACAGCCCCCTCCTGCCTCATCTAGCCCCCTCCATGAAACTACTTTGCTTCCCTCTCGTCCTCTCAAACTATTGATAAGTGAGAGTAGAAAATTCCCAAAAAAGCTCGCGCACTAACAACGCTAAAGTTACACTATCGCCGTCCCAGTCATTTCCCCCACATCCGAAAGAAAAAGAAACATAGACATCTCATAAAAATGCCATGCCATGCCGTAAGCGCATCAAAAGCGAAAAAGAATACGTAAAAAACGCACAATTACGCCTTGCTCAACATCTTGAGTACCTCTTCCTTCTCACTTGTCGGTAGCGTGCTGAGCAGGCTAATGACACCCTTCAAGCCACCCTCGCGGTCCTTGCGCATGAGTTGTGCAATCTCATCCGCAATACCGTCAGTCTTGAGCTGCTCAATCTTCTCGCTAACTAATGGCTTGTTCTCTTCGTACCATGTTGCCGCGGCCATATCGTCTTGCTCCCAGTCGGGGATGCTGGACAGGTGCTTCAGCATCTCGAAGCCACGAGCACGGGTGGCAGGGTCGGCCAAGGGGCTCTCGTGTGTTGGCGAGGCAGCAGCGGCGAACTTCTTGAGGATGTACTCTTCGTTGAGACGGCGGCGAAGGCGCCAGTAGAAGAAGCGGCGGGCGTTTTGCCAGCGAAGTCCCTTTCGGATGACACCCTTGGCTTGCATACGACCAGCGCGGTCGTGAAGATCGGCGAATTGAATGGCAATCTGGCCATAGATGGGCAGAAGCAGCTTCTCGCGCTCGTTCATCTTGGCCTTGATATCCTTGAGTTCGGCCTCTGGTGTATCCTTGTCGTTCAGCTTGCGCTTAAGCTCACCATAGACGGGGTCGTTGCGGGCCATGGTGTCGAGCTGGCGCTCCTTGCGATACTTGATGCCGACGATACCTTCGGGCTCGAGAACACCACCACGAGAGTCTTCGTCGGCGTACATTTCCATGAATTGAGGGTTGATGGTAGGATCGACGACGACCCATGATCCACCACGGAGCTCGCCGAATGGAGGAATATATACGAAGACGGGCTGCTGGTACTTGACGAGGCCATCGACAATGTACGAACCGTACTTGAGGACTTCGTTGTACATGTCGCGCTGACCACCAGAGAAACCACGCCAGTTGGCAAGGATCATCAGTGGCAGTTGCTCACCGTTGTTAAAGTCCTTGATAGCTTGGGCAGTCTTGAATGCAGAGTTGGGGTACCAGACACCACCAGCCTCAGATGTAACTTGCTCGATCGAGTCTGGGTTCGCGGGATCGGCAGGCGTGACATTCTCAACTGAGCGGGTCTCGACAGCGATGACACCAATGGGGATGCCACCGAGGCGAGCACGACCGACGACAACAGTCTTAGCCCAACCACCAAGAGTCTCTTCAAACGAACCGCGATCAAAGAGACCGGATTGGAAGCCATCTTCGTCCTCCTTTCCAGCAATGAGATGCCTGACGTCGTAGGCAGACTTGCCGGGGGGGTAGTAAGTGATGTCACGGTCCCAGGCGTCAGCCGAAGGAGAAATCGGGACAGGGTTGCCCTTCTTGTCGGGAACGTAAGACAGCCACTTGACGATCTTGGAAACACCCTCAAAGTCATCACCGGCAGTCGAGTGTGAAACACCATTTCGGTACATAATCTGCGTGCCACCAAGCTGGAGGTTGGAGGTGTAGACCTCACGACCGAGCAGCTTGTTGATAGCCTGAGCACCAGTGAGGATAATTGGCTGGCCCTCGATCTGGATGGCACGCTGTCCGAGACGGACAAGGTAAGCACCAATACCTATCAAGTGTTAGTAAATTGTTGTACAAATCACGATCGAAATACATACCAACTGAACGGCAAGTGACCAAAGTGATGGTGAAGATGTCCTCGTAAGCCCTTGATGTCTCACCAGCAATTAGACCAGAGCCACGGAGAGACTCAACACCGAGACCATCCTCAGCACCAATGATGGTAGTGATCTTGTAGCGGGTCTCACCACCATCTTCGACCTTTTCGCAGATGACATCTTTGCGCTTGCCATCAACAAAGTGCTCGTACTTCTCGGGTGTCAAGTAGAGGTAGTCGAAACCAGCCTCGGGCTTTTCAGGGACCTTCCACGCCACGGAGAAGTGAGGAATGAGCTCCTCGGCAAGACCAATTCGTGCGCCAGAGTTGGCAGACAGGTAGATTCGGGGAATGCCAAGCTTACGTGCGAGCTCAGAGCACTTGTGGAAGAAGTTGTCTTCTGCAGGTCCGAAGGAACCAATCTTGTAGGTGATGTCGTTGGCGATGATGATGAAGCGGCGGCCACGGGGGTATTCGGGCGTCTTAGCAGTCACAATCCAACCAACCATACCAATGTTGTTCTGGCCAGGGTCACGGTTGACCTCAGCAAGGTTCTCAGTATCATCAAGCACCAATTCGTAGTACTCGAGGCACTCTCCCTTGGCTGGCTGAGTCTCGCGGAGCGAGGGTTGCTTCTTGATAGCCTCGATCCAGCTATTCTCGGTGGCTTGACGGAAGAGCTCTGGAAAGTCGTACACGTACTGAGTACCCATAAGGTGGGCCTTGTACCTCTTGGGCTGAAGGGCACCCTTGGTGGGGTACGGAGTAGAGACTGGCTGCAAGTGGAGCGAACCAATCTTGTTGGTTCCGCCAATGCTGTGGAAGAGCCACTTGCCAGCCTTCTCAGATTTGCGCTCAGCGTACATCTCCACCTCGATGACGTATCCAGATGTGTTGGTGATGATCACACGGAGTGGGTAAGGAATACCAGTCTGAGGGTCAGTTACAATGATACGGATCTCAGCACCAGTAACACGGAGGCGCCAGAGTCGTCGACCGAAACGCTCCAAGAAACCGCCAATGGCCTCTTCAACCTCAGTGGGGTTCAGAGGGAAGACGTGAGAGAAGTTGATGAAGATGTGGTTCATGTCAGCTTGTGAGGTGCCAACAATCTCCAAAGCATCCAGAATGTCAGTCATCAACCTATCCGTCTCAGAGATCATGTACTCAGCGGTAGGAATCTCCTCTCGGAGACGGCCGGATCGGACGACCGCCCTCAAGAAGTAGCGCTTGTCACTCTCGGCACCCTTGCCAACAGCCTCATAAATGTGGATATTGCGGTTCTCCGTAAAGACTGGCTTGATGTTGAACTTGGAGAGTCTGCCAAGCTCAAGCTGGAAGGCAAGAGCAGGCTCGACGTGACGGATACTGGCATCCTCCTCGTAATTGGGCCCACGGAAAGTGTAGTAGCCGGGGTAAGTTCCATCCTTGTGACCGCAGATGAAAGAGATGCGGCGGATGCGGCGCGACAGAAGCTCCGTCTTGAAGTCCTCGATGATAGGCAGGATGCGGTCGAGGATCTCCTTGTCGTCGTTGCCCTCAATATCGCGGACGGCAACGTTGAGGACACCAGTGAGCTCGTCACTGTGCTTGGGCTCGTTGACACCAGTGGTGGGAGTGCGCTTCATGGTCAAGCCCTCCCTCAACCCAGTACCAGTCTTCTTCTCCTTGCCAAGGTTGGGGAAAATGTCCAAAGCCTTGCTAATGAGTTCATCGGCATCATCGAGGAAGTCGACAGGGACAACAACACCCTTCCTGGTAGGCTCACCCTCGAAGCGGTTTTGCCATGCGGTCATGTCGCTAAGGGACTGGATGCGAGGCGGGCGCTCGAATCCTGGGGTGCTTGGTGTGCCAGGCTCTGAAGGCTCTACGGCGAGACCGTACTCCGCCTCACCAACCTTGCGGAGGATGAAGTCCCAAGAAAGGAAGCATTGCTGCTCACCCTCGTTGTGGTAGTTGATGTTCTGGAGCTGGTACGCACGGTAAGCACGGCGAGTGTATACCTCCAGGGCAGCAAGAGCAACCCAGGGATCAGAGTGGACGAAGAACTGGGTCAATACGTCAAAGACAGTGTACCTAGAATCGACAACCTCCTTGATGACATCAAAGTTGGGCTCACGGTGGTCCCATCCGCTCTCGCCGTAGCGAGACTCGACGACGGAAGAGCGCAGGATGTGCTCCATCTGTGCTGTGCGCTCCTCAAGCGAGGGCATAGCGCACTGAATGAGGACTTCACGAGCCTTGAGGGAGACCTTGGCAGTCTGCCTGGACTCAAGCTCAGTAAGCTTCTTGAGAATATCCTTGAAGTACTTGGACACGTTGCCGACACCGGGCTTGTTAGGTCGGTAGAGGTCAAGGATGGCAATGACGAGATTGTTCTTAGCGCCAACCCTGGTGTGAGACAGGACAGTGTGGACAACGCTGGTGATGTTATCGCGGTTCTCATCACGGAGCTTGAGAATAACTTCTTCGTCACGCGATGTGCGAGACGAGAAGAGCGACTCAGTAGCCCAGTACACCTCCAAAAGCTTTATCATAACACTGTACTCGTGTGCCTTGAGACCTTCAGAGTAGCGATCAATGACATCAGCCAAAGGCGCCAAAGAAGCCTTGAGCAGCGCAACGTCGCCCTTGGCTACGTTCTCCTCTACGAACTTCTGGAACGCCTTGTTGAGCGCCTTACTAGGGAACTCAAGGTTACGGCTGTGGGCCTTGTCGACAATCTGAGAGAAGGTAGCATCAAGCTTTTGTGGCATACGGGCGTGAAGAGCAGACGCCTGGGCGTTCCACTCTCCATACGGCAGCTCAGGATCCCTGAGGACATCGACAAGTTCCTTGAGGGTGCTCTGCATGATGACCTGGTTGTCGAAACCCTGGAAGATGTTCTCAAGGATGTAGTACAGGTAGTTGAATCGCTGCGGGGGCTTGGCTCCGGGCACTTGAGGTGCACCAAGGTCGGGAAGCTGGCCTGTGAAGTTCTGGGCAGTCTTGACCCTGGATGGGTCATCGAGAGCTAGGACAGCGAGAATGTCACCAGCCTCGAGAGTGGCTCCTGGCTGCTTAATCAGGTTGACCATACCGGCCTCCTGTGCGATCAAAGGCATGTACATCTTCATGACTTCAACCTCAGCAAAAGGTTGGCCCTTGTCAATGTGCTCGCCGTTCTCAACAAGGAACCTGACGAGCTTACCGGGCGATGGGGTTCGCAGTTGAGTGGGGTCGTTCTCTTGCTCGAGGAGACAAGTCTTGCCGTCAACCGAGAGACGGGTGGCGCCGACCTCCTCCTTCCAGTAGACATTGTGTGACTTTCCGCTGAGCAGGATCAAGAGACCGCCATCGGCAAGTGCCCTGATACCGACCGAGCACTTTGTTCCGTTGATGAACAGAGTGAAGCTGTCAATGGTCGATTTGGTAGCGGTAAACTTGTATCGGTTGCCCTCGTAGATGAAGTCGATAGGGAAGACCGTCTTGAGCACATCCTTTGACGGCACCTGACCCTTTTGCAGACTGGCAGTGTATTCGCTGATGCATGCTTCGCTCGCAACGTGAGCCTTGGTAACAGCACCGCAAATGACGGCAATCATAGTATCCGGTCGCTCAGCAGTCAGCTTCTTGGAAATGAGCTCGTCAAGCCAGCCCGTTGTGATGGTGTTCTCCTCGAAAGCAGGTGTTTCGAGCAACTTGATGAGGTACTCAACAGTTGTTCGGAAGTCACCACGAATGCTCAACTCCTTGAGAGCAACAACCATGTGCTTTCGCGATGCTTGTCGGTTCTCGCCGTAGGCGAAAATGTGACCAAACTGGGAGTCAGAGAAGCTGTGAATACCACCAGCAGAGCTAACGGAGAAGTAACCCCAGACGTTGGAGCTACTCCTAAAGTTGAGGTCGTGAATGGTACCACCAGATGGCTTGAAGCCCTCATCGGGATCTTCGGAAGTGATACGGCAGGCCGTACAGTGGCCCTTGGGAGTAGGTCGTCGCTGACTCTTAGCGCTGCCTTCGGTGGAGAAGTCAAAGTCAATGATAGAGCTGGTGTGGGGATCAGCGCCGTACAGGAGACGAATGTCACGGATACGGTGCAATGGAAGACCCATGGCAATCTGGAGCTGGGCGGCTGGGAGGTTCACGCCCGTTACCATTTCTGTGGTAGGATGCTCGACTTGAAGACGGGGGTTCAGCTCCAAGAAGTAGAACTTGTCGTCAGCGTGCGAGTAGAGGTACTCGACGGTACCGGCAGAGACATATCCGACGAGCCGTCCGAGCGAGACGGCAGCCTTCTCCATCTCCTGGAAGGTCTTTGAGCCAGCAACTGTTACCGGTGCCTCCTCAATGATCTTCTGGTGTCGTCGCTGTACCGAACAGTCACGTCCGAACAGCGAAATGTTGTTGCCGTACTGGTCAGCCAGCAGCTGGACCTCCAAGTGACGTGCGCTGCCCGCCAACTTCATAATGAAGATGGGCGATCCAGGAATCTCAGAGGCAGCCGCCTTGTAAAGCTGCTCAAAGTCTTCCTCGCGCTCGACCTTTCGGATACCCTTGCCACCACCACCTTCTGAGGCCTTGACCATGACGGGGAAGCCAATCATCTTGGCCTTCTCGAGACCCTCTTCCCACGACTTGGTGCAACCCTTTTGGTAGACGTCATCCTCGACTGTGACAATGCCGTTGTTGTCAACCTTGACCGCATCGACACCGGTTCCTGACCATGGAATGCATGGCACGCCAGCGTGTTGTGCGACAATTGTGGAGGAGATCTTGTCACCAAGCGAGCGCATGGCGGATCCGGGAGGACCGATGAAGATGATCTTCTTGGGCGAAGCGGCAAGCGATTCGGGGAGTTTGGGGTTCTCAGAGGCGTGTCCCCTAGAAGCACAATGTCAGCCCAATTTGCCCCTCTGATTCATGTAGAGAATACGCACCATCCTGCCCACACAGCGTGAACGTTCATTCGCTCGGCCACATCGACAATGAGCTCAACGTTAGCGTAGTTGTTGTTGTTGGTACCGCCGGGTACCTGCATGTACCTGTTAGTCGGTCCTCCATTTGTTTTGCCGCTCCCAGGCTTTGCAAGTGGCAACGTACCTCGACGTATTGATCCGCCATGCGGATGTACTCTGCGTTGGCCTGGAGATCCTCAGGCGTGGCCATGACGGTGAACTGAATCGCCCGCTCATCGCCAAACGTCTCGTATGCCCATTTCCGCACCGAGCGGATCTCTTTGACGGCGGCGATACCGTTGTTCGCAATGAGAACCTGCGGGGAAAGCCCGAGTCAGCGCACCCGAACCCCAAACAGTATTTCTTTGTGGGGAGGGAATTCTCTTACATTGGTAATGACTGTGTGTCCATCGTGCGCTGCCACAAAGTCCTTGACTTTGCCGGGAGAGGCTACGCTGAGGTTGTTGCCGCCGATAAAGTGCGGAGCAAGATCGAACTTGGCTGAGTAGGAGCTCGGGGTGCCATTGGCATCCCCATTGACTCCGTTCTGAGCAGCTCCGGCCATATTGTTTGCTGGTAATCCCATGCAACTAGGGAATTAGTTGAATGTGGAGGGAGTTGGGAGGGGAAAGTTTGGTCGGGAACTCAGGTCGGCGAGTGATCGGGTAATTTTTGACTGAGTAATGGGCAAAGCTGGAGCTCGGCCTTTAGTGTCGTAGATCTACAAATGAGACCCAACGTCGGTTGGTCTACAAGAAAAACCGGATGCACACACCCTCTTGTTTGGAGAAGAGTGCAGTTGCTGTTCTAACGATTCTGTCGGTGGGAGGATCCGAGCAGGAGTGTTAGTGGATTACAGCTGGAGTATCGGAGGGAAGGCCGCTCAAAAGCAATCTTCCGATACTAATGCGTTCAAAGGTGTATGTTGCGGGTGCTGGGAGGAAAGCACCTGCAAACAACGATTGGACAGTGAGGGAGAGAGTGCTGTAGGCAAGATACAGTACTGTAATATGTATATATATGGGGCGTGTGTATGTATAGTGAGGTGAGTGAGACTTGAGAGAAAGAGAGAGAGGGAGGAGGGAGGAAGCAAAGTGAGGAAGAGGGAAACAACAGCAGTCGTAAAGCAGCCGGGTGAGGACTTGTGTAAGTATTAATTTTTTTCAAGGAGGGTCGCGGAACACCCCAATGCACTTCCCGAAGAGCTGTTGAGCTTGAGCCGAAGCTGCACATTACCCAGCGATGCCAAACCTGGGATGGCCCTGGACCACGTACCCCATGCCGCCCCTGGCCATGTCTCGATCGCTCCCAAGCCACCGTACATGGTGGGTGTCGGAACTCGGTCGGAACTCCTTGGTGTAAGCTATTCGCGACTCCGCTCGGAAAAAAAAAACTCCACAACTCTTTGACGCTGGCAAAATGCCCACTAGAAGATTCCATTGTGCAACTCCATGTCCGCAGAGTGGCCCATGGCCCGACAGAACCAAGCGTGTAGTACAAGAGGGTGGGCATTGGCCGCCATGGCGGTGCCAGCAATCGGCGTGTTGGGAGAGCCAGTTCCGAATTAGTTTGTTCTTGCGAGCGAGAGGGCCACCTGATCGCGACCTCAACTGCGCGCCCACCCCATTCATTATCTCTCAGCAAAAACAACATTATTCTCTAGGTGCATCGCGATACCGCCCGTCCCGATCCATTGGCCCCCACTCGCATTCTGTCCCTGAGTTGCGGCCAAATCGTAGTCGTGATGCCTCAATGCCCCTTTGCCGTCCTCCCTTACCCCTCCCGCTCAACAAAGTCGCCCATGTTGCCCCCCCGTTCCCACCGATTCCTCCGATCGCCCTCTTTTCTGTTCACCGCCAGCCAGCACGCATTCCCCACCACGCCGCAAACTTTGTGCCCAGCACTTCAATTGCTGCCAGCCAATATACATAGAAACTAAGACAGGACAATCAATAAACACGCCCTGTCCGTCTCACGACCGCAGCTTTGCCTGTTCACTACTTTGGTCGTTCAATGATGATACTCGGGTCTCCTCCTCCGGTATGTCTCTGCCATCGGACTCCGTCGCAAGCCACCCAATCAGCGGGCCCTGAAGCCCCCCAACCAACCCTCGGATCATATCAAGAGACACCCCCCCCCTCCTCGGAGCATATCTACTATGCTCGAATCAACCAGATGAATGACGCCTCTTTCTGAATTAAAAAAAAGGATTATACCGTAGTGCCAAAGACCAGAAAACGGTGGAAAAAAAGGCCCAAGTACATACGCCCGAATGCTTCTTTCCCGTGATGCGCCCGTACATGCGGAATCTTGGCGTGGGTGCCTGCAATCGCCGCTAGGCACCATCTCTCGTGTGTTATGCGTGTGGATATGTGTGCACAAAAGATGTGTTTGCTTATGTCGCGGCACAAAAAAAACCTGACCGGGAGCATCTTCTTCTTTAGCAATAAAAACAATACATTACAGACAAAGCTTGCAAGTAAAGAGAAGCCTCCTACTTCAAAACCCCCACTGCTGGACTAAAAGATATGCGAGCTAGTAAGGGGATTTCCGACGTGCATTCCGAAGATCCAGGGTCCCGCGCGCTCGCGTGCGTGCGTTTTTTTGGCTGCAGTGAAGCGGCCAGTCCCGCACGGTTTGACATCAGAATCGTACGATTTTCTTTCCCGCTTGAACACCACGCCCACGCCGGTGCACTCTTTTACCCCAGATTTGCGAACGCTGCCTGCACCTGGGTACCCTAAACAAGCACTTGAGCCGCTTTACCGCGATCAGGGCATGTGGGGTGGGGAGGGCGCACAGGGAATAGTCAAATTTGACTGTACAGCTTCTCGCTGTCTCCATCTCTTCTCCTACCTCTCCACGTACCAGGAACCAGGAAAACAAGGTACAAGGGGAAAACATCAGGGCAAAGGGTATATTTGAATTTCGACAAAGGAAAATTTGGTATAAGCAATATGTAAATGCCCCAAAGGGCTTGTGGCTATAGACACCGTCTGCAATGCTCCCTTAAATTCGACCCATGCTGCCCAAAATGCAAAGAACCACGTCCTTTGACGGGGGGGAAGCTCCAGTCTGAACCGAATCGGTGCAAGCTAAATACGGTACCTGCATCCCCCTTCCCGTGTGCCAAACTCCAGAAACGCTAGAGGTATAGTGCCGCAAAATCATATACCGACAAAAAAGCCCAAACGTACATGCACAAAGTCCCTGCAGCTTCTGGTTTTTGCTGCAAACGCCCGACCCGTGCCGCCCTAATAAGACTCTTCCTCAGTCTGCGTCGACATCCTCCGCAGTCGTAAGGGGAATCCCGTTTCTCCCCCATCCTGGCCTGCACTCGCTCGTCGGCCTGCGCTCGCCCGCCTTGGAATGCCCGTTGGCGTCGGGATCCCCGACTTCTCCAGTGTGGAACGTCGACCCATTATTGGCGTCGTCACCCCACTTCCATCACTGTTGGTGCTTGCGTCATCCCGTACAGACGACGAGAGCGACTGCGAGTAACTGTGCCCGTTGGAGTGGCCGCTCATTGAACTTCGTGGTCTCGGTACTCGTGATTCAATTCCGCTAATCGATGACGACTGGTAGTGGCCGAGTGCGGTACGGTTGCTGCTCCTGCTCGCTGGTCGTGCTATCGCCGCAGCCGGTGGCGAGAACGAGTTTCGGCTGTCGGGTTGGGGGGTCGGAGGCTCCCTCGAAGAGCTGGAGGCACCGAAGGAGAGGCGGCTGACACCAGACTCGTAGGCGCTGGGGACTGACGACGCCACTGACGCTTGCGAGCTGCGCTTGCGACCATTCCTCAACGTAACTGAGCTGGGTACGTGTCCTGAACCGCTGCTGCCTCGTGGGCTCGCTCGGGGTGGCGTACTCGTTGGCGCAGGAAGCTTGGATCGTGCTGTTTGAACTCGTTCTTCGAGCCTCTGCATCTTACCTATCAGCCCCCGAATCTGATAGAGCGAGCCTGACCTGGGAAAACCCGCTGATGTAGACGCGCCAAGACTTGGTCTGGTCTCTCGCGACCCTGTCACAGTCGGCCGTAGGGAGGGCGTGGCCCGCCCACTGGCAGCTGAACTGGGTGGCCGTGACGATCCTGACATACTAGGCCCTCGCGAATGTCGTGGCGCCCGTGAGTACATACCGGCACGAGGTGTAGTTCCAGGGTCCTGCGGCACAACAGAATTCTTTCGTCTGGACATGGGCGTCGAAGGGATGAGTTTGGTGGTAATGGGTGCGTCCGAGAGCGGCGGAGATGGTGGGGTCGTGTCCGGGTGGAGGGCATCTGCTATCGAGTGCGGCGGGGTCGAGCCGGCTGTGGGCGAGGAAAGGGTAGTCGCAGACGTTGACGCCTCAGAAATCGGTGAGCGTGGTCGCAAAACGTCACCAGCAAGGTGGCTAGATACCTTGCGCTGGTGGTGGTGTTCGATGGTTTCTTCTGCTATGCGCAGTTTTTCTTGTACGATTTCCGTCTCGATGCGCAGGTCGGTCAGTTCATCACGTAGTCGTTGTGTTTCTATACGTAGTTGCTCTCGTTCCTGTTCTCCAATCTTGACTTCCTCTTCAAGCATGACGCCGCGTTCAATAGCCACGTTATACTTAGATTCGACATCTTCAAGCGATGACGTTTGGTTGCGTGCCTGGCGCTCGAAATCGTCGCTTTGCACCTCAATGTCTCGGAGCCGCATTTGCAGCGCGCGTTGGCCCTCGCGCAAAGCAGTAATCTCCTTTTGCAGCGTGTTTTGCGCATTGTTTGCTTCGGCTTTGCTTTGCTTGTACTTTGTCTATAGTCGTGTCAGCAATTGGGCCCAAATGACGGAAATGCGCCCTGCTATGTCCCCCCCGAGCCACATACCTTCCACTCCTCGACCTCAAAAACCAGTTTCTCTGCCTTTTCTTGCAGTTTCCTCTCGCGCTTTTCGCTCTCTTCGATGTCGCGTTCTAGTTCGGCCTCTAGTTCCTTGCTGGAAGTCTGAAACTCCTGCAGCTCATTTTCCAGCGTCTCGTATTGCGTCTTGTAGTAGGTTAATTCCTCTTCCACGCTCTTCCACGCTCTTCTCTGCGCGGCCGGAGAGGAGAAGGGCTTGTCGACGACTCCCATGGTGGCTGCTGGGACGTGGCGGTGGACCGCAACCCAAGCTCAGGGGAATGTGTTAGGCGGGGGCGACGGCGATGCGGCGAGATATAGATGAGTGAGTGCTGGTGTGTGCATCCACGGGTGATCACGGCATAGAGGAGGCCTGCAGCTTGAGGTACGCGCGAGTGTTGTTTGTGTCTTTGTTGCCGGAAATGGAGGATGTCGCTTTTGTCGAGCACGGTGTGATGTCGCCGGTCATGCGCCGCAGTCTGTTGAGGTGGGCTGCGTGGCGCTTGATGTTGGCTGTGCGGGCGTTGTAATTTTCAACCTGTGCCTGTGTATGGTTAGTGGTTAGTAGGCCGCTGGACGGCGGCGTGCAGTGTTGTGCGTCTCCAGCGGTGGGTTGTTGATGGATGCGCTGCGGGCGCGGAGCCCGATGGTTAGCGCACTGGCCTCCCAGGGCAACCGCGGGCAGGAACGACCAGCCACCCACTGGGTATGACACATGCAGCCTACCGCGGCCACACATCCCCACATCGACAACGCATCAAGCGACAACACAGTGGCCAGACTCCGTCATCACAGCCAAACGGACTACAACCGTTGAGATGCTCGACATGACTTCCTTGTATCAAGGGGTGGCTGGGGCTTGCCTCACCCAAAAAGCAAGATATTCTCGTCAAAATGCAAATCGCGCATAGCGGCGAGATGTTCATGGTTTCAGGTTGCGCATGACTTAATTAATCCTTCCACCCGCATTGCTATTACAAGATTGCTAAGTACAAAACCTTCAACTCGATGCAACCCCAAGGGACGAACTCCTCCTCCTACAAAGTCCGATCGTGGATGCTGAGATAAAAATAAAACACTCCGGGTGTGTATACGGGCTCGTGACCGCCACTCGCTTCGTGACTCACTTGGCCATGTCTTTGTCGGTACCGTCAATGTCCTTGACCCTGCTATCTGTAATGCCATCTGCCGCCTGTTGTGACGCGTCATCCACTCCATCCCTTACAGTTTTTGCGACATCTCCAACGTGTTGCGAACCACTCTTGAGGGCATCCTGAGCCGTGCGTGAGGCTGTCTCTGCTACTTCTGCGCCTTTTGAATAGACGTCTGCAACTTGCTCCTTGCCCTTCTCTACGATATCCTTGGCCGATTTAGTCACATTCTCAGCAGCTTCAATGCCCTTATCCTTGCTATGGATATACATGTCTTGTACACCCTCTGAGGCAGACTTTGCGATTTCTTCCGGACCAGGGTACTTGCGCAGAGTCTTTTGCAATGTAAAATACAGGCTAACGATGACTGAATGGATATGGTCCTTCATCAGCATAGTGATGCCATGCGAGAAGAAGCCTTTGAGCACTTCAGCGCCCAAGCCTTCGTACAAGGCTCTTATGCCTTCAGTCTGTGCGATCCGGAGGATAGTGCTGAATACAGTTCGCTGTCTGGCTTGTAGAGCTTTTGATTTGACAGGCTCCTCAGACTTCTCTCTATCTGAAATTTCCCCACTGCCTGATAGAGGCTTCTGTGCAGACACTTGTGCTCGTGCCTTTGCGAGACTGAATGGATACGTCACGGTCGAGGCCAAGGCCTTGCTAATCGCTGCAAGGAGAAAGATTAGACGTCCTCCCGGATCACTGCGCTTCGCCCTCGGTACTACCAATCGCAGCAGGGCCTTGTGTAGCAGCATCGTGATAGAAGGGTTTAGCGTTAGGATCAAACTGGCTGAGTATCCTGACCAAAAGCCCTGTATGCCCTTCTCACGCCAGATTTCAGATGCAATATCCTTGGTGCTCAGCGGAGGAGGCGGGTCGATCGTAGAGCCCTGGTTCATCATGGCGGCTGTCTGCTTGCGTGTCACGACTTGCTGAAGAGGTGTGCTGATCAGCTTGGAGAATGCGCCTGCGATTACGCCAACGCCAATCTCCTCCAAGGCCGGCAGGTTATGGCTGCTGCCTCGCGCACGGAGTCTCTTTTCGCGCACATACGAGTACGCTAGAAAGAACAGGAAGCTATCCACGACACCCTTGAATGTTTCATGGACACAACCGCTGTAGAAAGCCTTCAAGCCACCCTCTCTTTCGTACACCTTGAGGAAGGCATCAACCACACCGTCGTAGTGGGGATGCTCCTTGCCATGCTGTAACTGCCGTTGGACTTGAAGACGTGTTACGACCAAATCCACAGGATATGTTATGAGCTTTGATATCGCAGATCCTAGAGCGCCAGAAGTGGCATGACCGAGAGCTGGCAGTGCAGCGCCGATGGCGTTGTGGGTATTATTTTCTTGCGACACGTGGTAGAGCGTGAATGCATCCTAGGGCCCGGCATTAGTTCATGCGCGACACTGTGCAGGCTAGACGCGCTTACCAGCTGCGAGTTGTAGATGAAGTTTATCTTGTCTGGGCTACTGTCTGCCATGTTGACTATAGAGAGGCAGAAGTTGACAAAATGATGTGAGAGCAGTAATTAAGCACCATAAAACGCGGGGAAATTAGTAGCCCTCTTGCGGGAACGAGTCCGCATGGCGTTGTCACCAGTTAGCGACGTCATTTGGAAGCGTTGACGTTCGGATGAGGCCAAAGCTCCAGTGGATACTAGCCGAGCTAGCGTTGGGGAAGGCTTTCGCTTGTGAAAACCTCCTCCTGACAAACGTGCCACAACAACACCACACAAACACCAACCTCGGCAGTCGACTCACGTCTTGCGCGCGAGTCTACAAATGTGTCTTGCTCAATCTAGTAAGGCACTTTGGGGATACTTGCTGGGTGTACTGTGCGTACTGTAGAGTACTGGATCTGCAATACATCGACGCGCGATGCAGCACAATGCCGTCCAATTCTGCTGGAAGAAATTCAATACTGGATTCCAAGCCCAATCCTAAGAAAACGGAGTACTCAAAGGGACTGCGAGAACTCTTCAAGGGTATTGATCGCAGTTCAAAGTATCCTCCAAAAGTAAGCAAGGCTGGTGGTTGAGAAAAGGTGGAAAGACTCGTTCGCGGGGAGGACATCCATTGTTTCGCCGCTGGCTACATTACGAAACACTATGTACTTCTTCCTTCATGACTCATAGGAGAGGCTGCATGAGGGTATCTGCTCAAGGCACTGATAAATAATACAGTGATCGTGCTTCCTCCTGGCGTTCACTAAGAGTATGCTGCATGTATACCCTTTTTTATGTATGGTTGCGAGACACTAACTCTGCACCCACATTCTTACATACCTAGCAGCACCTCCATACGGCGATGACACCTTATAGCGCTTACCGTACCTCCTACGAGCACCCGCTATAAGTTCACGGCCCATTTGCCGAGCAAGACACGGGAGCAGCGGTACTGGAAAGAGCTCAATCTGCATAAAAGGCGGACACACAGATACGCCTTGCAATCTTCCATCCAAATTGTGGCTCTTGGACGACTCTGAAAGCTTCTTATTTGCCTTTCAGCTCATTTACATCAAATGCTAAGCATGATACATATTATAAGGAAAAGAGCTTGGAAAGAGCCTCCGAAGCTCTGGAATGCCGCATCTCAGTAATACAATCAATAACTATGTTCCTTCTTGTCTAAATACTCATGGCCTGGATCCTTATGATCTGGGTTGTTACGCTCTGGGTAAATGTCATAGAATCCGGGGAAAATAGTAAGAGTCTTCTCCGGCCCAGCTACTTTTTTGTACTTGGCAGCAGCATTGGATATTCTATGCTTGTACGCCCACTCCTGGGTTGCGTCAAAGTTGTGGCATTTGTGGCGCCTCTCAAATTCTGGCAGTGTCCAGCCTTCTCTGTCGATATACACCAGCGGCAGGAAAGTTACATCCGAGAAGCACATCAGCCGTTCTCGGAGAGCGTCAAGGTAGTGGTCTGGAATGCCTGTCAGTGGTCTGGACCGAGCGTGAAGATGATATAACCAGCAAAGACTTACTTGTGTGGGCCTTGTGAACCGAGAGTTTGGGATGTTGCTCTTGATGGACGGAGTGCAAGTCGCGGTTGTACCAGAGGTTCTCGTGTAGTGTGTCCTAGACGTCGCATTAGCTTTCTGAGTCGCTTAATCAAGGCTGGCCTGGGGGACCCGCGAGACAGTGTATTTAATGCATGACATCGAGCGAGACCAGAAAAGACTCCTGTTTGGCCACACCCTCTGAAACTGTGACATGGCGTTTTATGTCGAGGTCATATTTGTGACCCTTGGAAACTGGAATCAAGAAATGGCGCGCTGCGAGGACAAGAATCGGTATTTCAGATTACATATTATGGAATGCCGGCTGACTTACAATCTCGGCCAAGGGCCATCCATCTCTCACTGACGTCCCCTTCGCTGGGATGCATGGTATATTCGCTTGTGCTGCAATTGAATGGCGAGAACGTCTCGACATGGTACGACCGGTCTAGGTCTCGAATTGGTCCATAGTCGCCTGAAACAATGTCAGTTCTGCGGATTGTGGACGAGGATGAAAGTCTCCCAGAAGATTGATACTCACGAATATAATCTATGTCTTCGCACGATAGGCCCTTTTCGATGTGCAACAAGCCATGGCTTCGCAGCACTGCCATTGTGACAAGACTTGAGAGAATTGCTACTAAGACATAACGCCATACATTTCGCGCGATGAAGCATATCCAGTCCCAGGCAGACCTCGGATCTTTACTTGCAAGTATCTTCTCAAGTCGTTCTTGGTCAATAAATGGAGCGGACTCTTTCCAAGTCGGATGCAGAAGGGGACCCATATTCTCTCGCCATCTTTGGTTTCTTTACACTGTTTGAAACCTACGACAGTGGTTGGTCGATTGCCAGCAGTGGAAGTGGCAAGTCGAGCAAAATTCCGGAGAGTCCAGCGCTCCGGGCACTCTTGACCCGGTAGTGTGACGACTAGCGTTGGTATTGCACTGATGCCAAAGTGTATTATCGCTCCACAGTTCTCCCGCGCGGTTGTTAGACTTGAGTCGCGTCATGCACGAGCGATTTACTGTGTATAACTAGTAAACTTCAGCCCAGTCTCACCGTGCCGGCCGAGTCCGTCGCAGACGGGTCACCGTCAACTCTTGCGACATCCCTGTCACATTCCTAGACAAGTATAGATATATACGATGATATAGGCAATGGTTATTAACCATCATTGTAAGCGGTGAACGTCCCCCCACTCCCACCCAATGATTCGTGAGGGGAACATGTGGGGAGAAAAGGGAACAGGAAATGTATGAGATCAAACAGTCAGTGCAACAATCGCTTAGTAATTACTGCATATAATTTATTGCGTTTTACTTACCCAATATAGAGCTGCGTTTTAGAAACGCTCTCAAAGTCGCTGTTATACCGTATATGCAGCAAAATCGCACGATTTCAAGGGTTTTAAAGCCATCAAGCCTTGCCACGCTTTATTAGCATAGCGATAAGCAAAGAAGTATTATCTAGTGCTTACTTCATCCATGTTTTTCGCTCTATTAGGAAAAGATGAAACGCGATTTCAAGACGCACCTCCGGATCTCTAGCTAGATTCTACGCCTGCGTTTTTGGTCACGTGACATACAAAACATTGTAGTTTGGTGGATTTGATGATGGTTCACATAGTTGTGGTGGACTAGCCACATCACGTGATCAGCTTTTCACTAGCTATCCAGATCCGAACAAGCCCAACCGTAACGCTAGCCAGCCCCCCTTGTCAAAGCTCCATACCTCAAGAGGTATTAAAACCGCAGACATAAAGCGCGCAACCGAAGAGGCCCTTACATTATATCGACGTAGTAGCATCGTCCTCTTGTATTCTTAGGAACTGGAATCTCTATCTCGTCTTTTAAGATCGCAATACAATGTCTTTTCATGACGTAATGTGTTATAAGGCCGAAGTTTTATGTGTAGGGTACTAGCAAGGGGACGATACAGACCAAGGTAGGGAGTAAGAGTTATACTATACATAGTCGCAGTCATCAAGAGCAGTGTGGTATTTCTCAATAGTAAATTGGGTATAGAGTTATCCGAAGAAAAGCCTATCATTATTTTAACGCCCCCTCCCCACACAAAGCCTTGACCTTGTAGCAAAGTATATCGCGCATTAGTTGTGTATGACGTATTGTTCGTCCTAGAGTCTAAACCCAGCCAGGTGTCTACGCTGGGGGGAGTATGGTATGGTATAGCCACGGGGTACTTCACCTCCTGATGGAGTATAGGTCGCAGTGCTGATCCCAGATGGTGTCACATCCAATCCTCGGACTGCCAATTGCCTGTCAAAGAGCAGAGCCGGCGGTACGCGGGTAGTATATATACCTGTACCCACCTTCAGTTCATCGTCAGTCCATCAGCTTCCACAACAACACCTTGCAGAACGATCCAAATTCTCCACTCTCACACCGGAAAAAAATGAGAACCTCCTTTATCGTAGCAGCTCTCGCAGCTTGTGCTGTTGCGCTTCCAAGTATGTTGAGGTCCACGGGGGATTGATGCATACTCATAGAGACATAGATGCACTTCCTAAGGCGAACGGAAATGAGCCCCCAAGAGATGTTGGGTACCGCCGCAGTGCTGAGGCGGAAGCGAACGGCAATGAGCCTCCAAGAGATATCAAGTACCGCCGCGGCAACAGGTAAGGCGTTGACATCCCAAGAGATACTGGGTACTGAAGCCTGAATGCGAAATTCTGTGGATAAGTCGGCTTGATTGCATTAGGGATACCAAACCGTCACCCGTTACTATTGATAGTTTTACAATAATGAGACAATGCATACATTAAAGTATCATTATCTTCTTGTATATCGAGAATTTTGGTCATGCTATGAGGGGCGGAGAGTAAACAGGATATACCCTGAGCCACATGGCGGCAACGAGTGCATCTCCGGCCTTTCGGCAGTATATCTTGTTGCAGGAAAGACCGAGCTTCACCCAGCTTTGCTATTAATTCTTGACTTAAAGGGTTGTGTTAAGAAGCGGAATTTTTGAATTATTGGGTGTCTCGATTGAGGAGCCCTTACAAAAGCCTGTATACTACTACTCGGGCCCAAGGATGGCGTCCCGCCACCCATGCTGCGCATGGGCCCTCGCAAGCTTAGGGCCCCTGAGCTCAACGATAAACATACACTCAACAATAATTATTCGCGTTTATACCATAATAATTTAGTATCTAGTATTCTTTTACAAAATTGATTCGGGAGCGATTATTAAGTGTATATACAGGCTACTATTTATAAGTCCCTAGCCCCATCAGAGTAGTGTTCGTCGAGCAAGTCGTCGTTGTAGAAGCGCGACAGTGGCGATGAATAGCCAACAGAGCTCTCCTCCAAGCTCTCAGCGTCCTGCTCAGCTGTCTGTTGCGTGTCAAACATAGCCGCCTCCTCCGCCTGAGCTCTCTCCTGCTGCTGACGGACTTTCAGAGCTGTCGTGTCGCGTGTGGCAATGTATATAGTATATGGGTCGTAGGGCTGTCGGGCTGCTAGGCCTAGCCATGCAGCACCTGTCGGATCGTATATAATAGATCTGCGCCACCTTTCCGCAATAGATCTACTATTAATTAGACGCCAGGAGCTCTGCGCAATTTCTCTTAGCGATGAGATATTATATTGTCGGAGGCCTAACGTACGTTGTGTAGTTGTCCCTTCTCTATGTCGCCTTGCAGACAGCTTACCAAGACGTCGTATTGTAGATAGCTTAAGCGCAACAATTAGACGTTTTATAGACTTAAGATTGCGCTCTTAGAGCTTCCTTTCTATCTCTATAAGCTCGTCTTGCTCTCTTTCAATTGCCATTCGTCTAGCGTCTTTGGCGTATAAAGGTCCTCCCTCGTTTAGGCGACGTCTATGAACAGCTCTCTCACGACGCTCCGCACGAGCAATCTCAGCAGCCTTTGTTTGTTGTAGAGCTTTAGCAAGTCCTTGAGTAGCCTGGGCCATTGCGAGGGCGCCTTTGTACGTAGTGTCTAGGGCGCTAAGTAAATCGTCGTCAATATCGTAGTCCTCCCAAAGACGCTGTTGCAACTCTGTGAGTTAATTGTTGAGTACGCGTGTCGTACGCGGAGTGCTCCAGTCCTGGAGATCCTCTAAAGCTCCGGCGTTGTCTCTGCATACTTCTACTGACTGTAGATCCACGCGGGGCACCTCGATAAGTCTGACGGCGGCAAGGACGATGTCTGGGGCCCATGGAGCTAGTCCTGTACGTCGCCAGCCACTTCGTATTGTGTTGTAGGTAAACGTCTGACGTCGTATTTCATCGAGAGTAGTAAAAAAGTCGTCCTTTGTAATCTCTTTAGCGCCTATACGCGCCGCCTAATCAAGTATCTTTCCATGATACTATTTCAATGGCTGAAAGCAGCCCACATCTAGTGGCTGTAAAAGATACGTCGTATGCGGGGGGAGCGCAACTGCGAGTATACGATAGAGCTCACAGTACTCCAAAAATTCGCGTGTATCGTGAGATCCATGGCCGGCAAGTAGTAGGAGCCTCCATAGACCTTTCGTACGAGCCTTTGTTTGTTTCTCAAAGTGCTGGATCTAGTGAAAAGCTGTCAGATCTGTTGAATAGCCCGAGGATGTAGTGTTGATAAAGTAATCGTCAGGGAGGTCAGTTGCCCAGTAATCAAGGATTGATTTGCCTTTAACAATAATCATAAGTGCAATTGAACAGCCAGACGCAGAGATACACTCTACAAGGCTAACGAGCTCTCTATTATTAGACGTCGGCATAAGGACATCGCGTCCATGTTGCGTGTAGACAGCCTGCCTCTTCAAGATGCCAATCCGGATGCCAGTCTCGTCCATATTATATAAATCCTCCTCCTGTATACCAAGTAAGTCTATAAGCTCTTTTAGCTGCATAAACTATCGTTGCAAGGCCTATAGGTCCTGCGCCAACTTGCGCGCAAGCTCAATTGGCTAGCTTCTTAATCTTGTATATTTTGTATACCGCTTGAGCCAGCGGCGAGCCTAGTCCTAGCCGACAACAGGCAGCTCTACAGGAGCTGATATATCAGATTCAGAGTTAAAGGCGTCCTCGAAGGCTTACTTTAGAAGGTGGTTAGCTTAAGCCTCGACCATGTACTTGGTGACGCCAAAGCCTACGGCGTCGACAGCGTCGAGATAGTATACAAGAGAAGCCTCCTGTACGCTAGAGAGCTTTCTATTTATAGGCGCGCGCGTAGATCTATTATTACCACTATTGAAAGCCCTGTGTAGGCGTTGATATAGAAGGTTGTGCAGTCGCGCGTATTCTAAGAGGTTGGGCTTGCGGAGGCGTCTCAACTCAATAACGGCGTCAGCTATTTCCCTAGAGGATCTCTCGTAACTAGTAGGTGCTCTGGCACGTCTTGGCATTTTTTCTGCGTCAAAAGATTTGTATTTCTTACTGTAGAGGTCTATGAATAGTGATATTATTGTTGAGCGTATGTTTATCGTTGAGCTCAGGGGCCCTAAGCTTGCGAGGGCCCATGCGCAGCATGGGTGGCGGGACGCCATCCTTGGGCCCGAGTATTGTATTTTTATTATACATTATGGTAGAGAGTACTTGTTGTCTAGCATAGGGACTCTTTATTTGTTGCTTCATTTACGTAAGTCACGTGGCAAGATCTTAGCATATAGTCTATTAAACCTCTTCTACGGGCTATATAATGTTGGTCGCGCCCACGACAAGTATACGAAAATCCCCTCTTAATCATATCGAGCTATATGGATGGTCAAGATCATGTATGCGCCACTAATTCAGCCGTCCAACGTCACGATTGGTTGGCACCACGACTCAGGCAGTAGGTCGTCACTGTGTATCTCCTACTAAGTCCACAAATGGAAAATCCAACTAGTATAACAAGCGCATAGCTATGGCTTTAATGATCCTGGATCTACTATTCCATGATGATGGTTGGTCCCACAACACAGCGTGACGAGGCGGGCTGAGGCGTGCAGAGGCTGTGCAATCATCAGGCATCCAACACCATGACCAGCCGTTTGACCGGTAAGAACTGCAGCAATATTATACGTGTATAAAGAGTATGACTGTGGCAGCATGTTTCTTGATAAGAACAGTGCATTTTCAGACAAACTAGAACACTTCCAATATAAATCTTAAATACCAACCTAAATCGCGACCTGCATACAAAATCCTCAATAATGGGCATCCCAACAACACCCACCGAAGCCGCACCAGCATACAACGATGTAATCAACAACCACCCTGTAAACCGCTACATGCCATCTGGCTCGCTCTCCGGCGTATGTTCTATTCCCTCTTTCCCCCAAACCTCACATACCCATCCATATCACCCACAGCGAAGAAGAAAGTTCGAAACCCTAACTAACACAACTACCTAGTACACCACCATCCCCCAATCCGATGATGCAGACCAACCCCCCTTCACCAGGGAAACCTCGGACATCGAACCCAACGTCTACACTCACAACACCACATCCCTGCCTCCTTCGCAGCAGCAGCAACAACAACAACAACAACAACAACAGCCGGAAACTTTTGCCCAAACAATAACCAAACTGCTTCTCCCCCAGTCAGACGCGCAGCACAAGCACTGCGCCGCGTGCGATGAGCAGGTTCATACGGCTGCGAGGCAGAAGAGGGAGAGTGAGAGGTACTGCTGTACGATGGTTGCAGTGACGTTTATTACGCTGTTCGTGTGTGGGATGGTGTTGGGAGTTGTGATTGTGAATGCGAATGCGAAGAAGAATAAGGATTTGAAGGGCGGGATGTAATTTTTTTTGCAGGATAGATAGATTGGTTTTGCGATACGGTTAGTTGGTGTTGGAATTCGACATGGGGGCGTAAAGGAGTGGTATGATTGATGTGGAATTGTGTGCTTATGAGTCTGCAAGATAAACGTCCACCGTTAGGGGGTCAGAGACATAGTGCGAGTTATTGTTCAAATCATGTTTTAGTCATTAATAGCTAGCCATATTGAATGCTGAGCACGCTTGAGCTTCTACGCTTCTATTTTACATAGCTTGATTGCGTCTGACGCTTCTGCCTCTCGCAGCCGACATTCTACTCCAACAGAGAGGCCTGGTTGGTGTACAGCACGTCAACAACGTTGCTCAGCTTCTCAAGAGTGGCGAGGGCAGCATCATATCCCTGATCGCGTTCCGACTCGTCGTAGACGATGAGACATCCGGCGCCCTGGTCCAGCACTCCAATAATGACCTTATCAAGGATCATCTGGGAGAGCTTTCGCTCCACCTGTATCGTGTCTAGCCCGACCATCTTGGCGACATGGTCGATTTCGACCCGGCTAAAGGGCTCGATGACCTTGATGAGGTTCTGCTCCAGCATGTTGTCATACAAGCGGCGAAGGTGGGAGGTAATGAATCGGTCGCTGCCAAGCTGTTGGCGGTAGTCGGTCAAGGCGGTTTCGTACTCCTCTAGACTGCGGTTCGTGTGTGCTCGGGCTACGGCCTTCATAGCCTCTAATCGCTTACCGGCATACTTGACGGCGTGCTTCGAGGTCATGAGCGATGTCACGTCGTCTCCGAGGTTGAGCATGATCTTGCAGAGCAGCATATACTGCAGTGCTGATGTTGCCTTTTGGTCCTCATCCTGTGAGTGGTATCCCTCCATTGCTTCGATGAAGTAGGAGAAAGCTGTGTTGAAGTCGCCGTCCTCGGCGTGTAGCATACCACTCTGCATATCCAGTCCAGCCTGCAACATAGGCGGGGTATAAACAGAGGCGGCCGATGTTCGGGCGGATGTGAGAGCAGCACGGCCCTTGGGTATGTTGCCCAATGCATGATAGACACGCGATTCTAACAGCTGCACCTCGACCAAGACCAGCTTGTCGTCTAGGCGCTTTAGCTCCTTGAGCAGACTGTTGATGAGCGTCAGGGCGTCGTAGTAGGACTGCTTCTGCATGTATAGGGCGACAAGTCGGGTCTCGAGGTTTTGCCGTAAGAAGCCTCTCCGCTCTGAGACGGCCCACTCTATGCATGACTTGGTGACAGCGATCTGGATGTCGGTGGTGTTTGGTATGGTGGTGAAGAGGTCGAGCAGCTGTCTGACTGTGCTGTGTTAGCCATTGGCCCCCGGGCCAGTGTATGGAGATGAAAGCATACCCAGTTTGGATGTCTTCGCTTTCGCAAACGACGACATTACCGATCGCGCTTGCTTTACCAGTTCCGCCAGAGCATCCACCTTCTTCTGGTCGCGGTAAAGCTCGCCGAGACCGACTAGAGCGGTCTCGTAGTTCTTGATGGCCGCCTCATTGGAACCAGGGTTTTGTGAAAGGACGTCCTTGTATATCTGTTCGGCCTTGGAGGGATCCGACTTGGCCAGCTTCTGCGCCTCTGCCACCCGCGATGTAGTTTCGGGGACAGCCATGGCTACACGATTGATGGGGGGAGTGTATGTGAAAGGCGGTTGGGTAGTCCGTGCAAGCAGTTCGCCGGGAAGGGACGGGGAATTGTGTGGCGGAGATGGAGCTGGCCGTCGGTGATGATCAACTGCTGGTAGCTTACCTGGAGATGCGGCGGCGGGTGCTGGATCGGCGATACATAATGCCGACAAGTGACGGGGCGGGAGCGGCGTGGAGGAGCCACCTGCGCCACAAAGCGCATGGCAACGAGCCTTATCGACAACGGCATGCAAGGCCCTCCCCCAGGTAACGGGCGACTTGGTTGTGCACGATTATTCGCGATGCACTCACTGCATATGACATGCATGTCGCCTGTTGAGCTGCAATCCACCGCCGACTCGCAACGGCGGTGTGCATCCAATGGGCGTACCATATCCATTCGAGCCGTCTTGTTCGCGCCAGTGCTGCCCCAGCGACGGCTGAGCTGGCAGGTCGCGCCGCCATCGTCATCGCCTATTGGCCAGTGCACGTAAACAAACCCCAACCTAGATCAACACTGTTCTCGCTCTGAACCTGCACTCCAGTTTTCCACCCTCCGCCCTCCACATCTCACGAACCATTGCGTTGCATATTCTACCCTGCGCTGGATCGCTGAAGCCATTCGCGATTGATACCCTGACCTGTTCTCGACAAAACAAACTTCTGCGCTCAGCCCGCCTTGTACCTGCTGCGCACTCCCATACCACCTCCGGGACTTAAATATCCACCACACTATATACCACAATGCCTTCCTCCGACAGAGAACCCTCCCGCGACAGGGAGCTCGTCCGGCACTCACATTCTTTCTCGTCCGACAGAATGATTCCTATGTTCGTCTTCTCATTTTGTTCCATACCAATGCACACCGCTACATTTCACTGCTAACACTGCACTCTAGGTGGGACAGTGCTGACCCTGAACGGGCACCTCCGCCATTGCCATTGAACCCAGGCTCACCAAATCTCACCACCCGCCCTAACACATCAGCAGCCATCATGCAAGCGGCCAAAGCGCTAGAAGAGAAGGCGCGAGAGAGCTTACCCGCAAGCTCATACACTACTAACCCTATGCCACTCAAATCGCTCTCTCCAGAGCGTGCCCTAATCAAAGGTAATCAGCACAAGCGTATGCAATCGCTCCAGCCAGGCAGTGTTCGTGACCTGCGCAGCTACTTAGACAACCGGTCACCAGAGCGGTCACCAGAGCGCGACCGGCCGTCAAGTAGAGGAGGCAGGCCAATCTCGCGCGACTGGGACAAGGACTACTTTGGCAAAGATGCCGACCCCAGTCCTACCAGACATTTCACGCCTTCGCCAGCGCCACGCTTCGAGATCAAAGACACACCGGCTCTGAGGCCCACTCACCGGCCGTTCCTAGGCGAGAACACGCCTCCTTCTGCTACGATGATGGCCCTTCAGACAATGTCTATCCCCCAACATATGCTTGACCCGCCACCATCGGCCAACTTCAACAGCTCGCCACGCTCTCCACGCTCTCCACCACCAGCTGCGGCAACTACCCCGGTATCTACACCAGTGTCAGCGCCAGCGCCGGCACCAGCGCCAGCGGCAGCACCCGTCCAGGGATCACTTCCACCTCACTCATTCGACAACATCGCCAGTCAGCTTGTCAGCATCAACAACATCGTTTCCAGTCTCCAGAAGGACATGTCGCAACTCAGTCGAAGGAGCAAGGACAACGCGACTGACCTCATCAGCTTGAAGGAGGCGACAAACCTCCGGGATGAGGATATTCGAAAGTCGCTCAAGGACCTTCTAGCAACCATGTCGCAAAAGCAGCAAGAAGCTGCCACTGCCGCTATGAATGGGGATACCTCTCGGTCTAGCAGCCTCAACCTTCAGGATCCCCACATGACGCCCACGAAGCAGTTCACCTTTCCGAGGATGGCATCGAGTAGCCCATGGGCCGACGAGCGCATCGGAAGCCCCAACCCATACTCTGTCGAGGGTGCCGCTAGTGTCGCCATGCTGGAAAAGATCATTCGTGAGATGGTAACCAAAGATGGTCAGGAACGGCTTGTAACAAATCTTCAGAAGCTAGTTGATAAGGCTACTGGAGAGACTGCCCAGAAAGTTGCTGAGCTTGTGGAGTTCGTCAAACAAGGCTCAATGGGCAGCGCTGTCCATGCTGGTCCTGGATCTGCAAGTTTCCAACCTTCGCCAGGATCTGGTGCGCTCACTCGCACAATCTCGGCTGACAGCAAGGTCTACTCTAGCCCCAAGGCTGCTGACTTTGTAAGCGAGGAGATGCTCAAGTTCCTGCGTAAGATCAAGGACAGCGTCGCAGAGTCGGGCTGTGTCACCATGGCGACCAAGTCAATGATTCAAGATCTTCGCGGTGAAGTGCTAGGCATGGGCCGCGAGCTTGCACGTAAGCTGGAAGAGGCGGAGCAGGCTAGAGCTGTGGAGTCAGATTCAGAGTCAAGTCAGCCGAATGAGCAGATCAACACCATCGTTCAAGAGGGTCTCGCGAACCTCAAGGAGCACATGGACAAGGTCATGCGTGAGCGAAGACGACAATCTATGTCATCGGTCGTGACACGCAACACTGTCGACAATAACGAGGTGTACGATGTCGTCAAGCAAGCACTCGCGGAGCGAGGCCTGGATCAGCCATCTGCCCACTCAGCTGCCCTCGACAAGGAAGCTCTCGTCAGTGCCGTGCGAGAAGCCTTCGACGGCGTCGAGATGAATGCCAATCGTGAAATTCAACAAGTCGGCTTGGGCAGGGACGAGGTACTGCAGTGTCTACGCGAAGGACTGCAAGATTTCAACGGCTCCGGCGCGGTTACCAAGGAGGAGATCGAGAGTTTGCTGCACGACTCCCTCCAACAGATTCAACTCCCACCTCCGATCAACGAAGTCCATGAAATCCGCGAGGAAGTTCTCATGGCCGTGCGAGAATCCTTGGAGGAGTTGAAGCCAGCCCTTACCGCCCAGCAGCCAACACCAGCCGAGAGTATCTCTCGAGAGATGCTTGAAGAGGTTATCCGCCAAGCTCTTACCGAACACAACTCTGCCGGCCTAGAAATTGAAATTCCCCCGGAGGGCATCACGGATGCTGTCAAGGCAGCAACGGAAGCTCATAACGAGTCTGTCATGCAGCGTCTACAGTCAATGGTAGAAGAGATGCATACTGAGTTTGAAGGATACTCTTCTACCAGCGGCAAGGACACAGAGCAAGTTCTGACAGCGCTTCGGGAAGGACTCGATAGTCTTCGTACGGAAATCCAGGGCTCATCAAACCAGCCGAGAGAGATTACTCAAGACGGTGAGATGATTGATCAGTTCAAGGCGGAGCTCGATAAACTGCGCGAGGATGTCCAAGGCTATGTTGCAGAGGGTCCTCGTGGAGACCAAGCGTGGAGCCGCGGAGACATGGTGGAGTATCTCAAGTCTGAGTTCGAGAGTCTTCAGGAAAAATTGAGCTCTCAACTTGTTCCCGCCTCCAAGACCAACGAGGAGATCCTTGCTGCTCTCAAAGCAGGCTTTGAGGAGATGAAATCCCAAGTTGCCCTCAGGTCTGGGGAGGACGACGACGTCGACTCGAACGAGGATATCAGTGAAGCCATCAAGCACGAGTTTGATCAACTCAAGGAAGTCGTTCTCGGCGACTCTTCCAGCAACAAGAACGACATTCTCGAGAAGCTCCAGGCGGGCTTAGATGGACTCAACACCCTCTTGAGTGAAAAACAGACTGCATCCACATCTAACGACGACATGCTTGCTGCTCTCAAGGCGGAGTTTGAAACCTTCCGGGAGACCTTGGGCGATTCAGTCGTCAAGCAAGGCGATTCAGCAGACAAGGACGAGATCGTCAATGCTGTTCGAGAGCTTCTTGATGGATTGCACACCTCCCAGGAGACTACTTCAAAAGACAACCTGGCTCTTATTCGTGGAGAGCTAGAAACATTGAAGGAGTCATTCAGCAATGCTCTTGTGCCCAGTGGGGACAACGATAAAGCTGAGATGATGATGACCGTGAAAACTGCTCTCGATGAGATCAAGGCCAACCTGTCAGCTGCTAGTGTCAATGAAGAGCTCCTCGAGGCTATCAGAGGAGAGCTTGAGCACGTGCACAAATCTAATAGTCTGATCCAGCAACACTCGCGCGCCGACACAGAAGAAGTATTGGAGGCTGTCAAGCTAGGCCTTGATGATCTCCAGTCCCATATCGACAAGAAGTTCAACACTCCTCCTGAGCGCAACGGCCCTGCTACTGATGAGATCATCGATGCCATGAACGAAGGCATTGAGAGCTTGCGAGCCGACGTCTCCAAGATTGTTGAGAAGCCCGTGGACATGAGCGTGTCTCACGAGATCCTGGACGTTCTCAAAGACGGCCTTGCCGCTTTGCGCGCTGACGTAGAGTCGCTGAAGGGTGCCCATCACAGCACTCAACCTGCACAGGAGGGCGCTCCCGCCCCCGCGGGTAACGAGCTTGCTCTTGTGGACAAGCCGGATGGCGAAGGGACCACGTCACGCGAGATCTCTCAAGATGTAGTACAGGATGTAGTACAGGACGTAGTAAAGGAGGATGCGACACCACAGCCCGTTGCCCAATCGCTAGATGTAGCCAAGATGGAGCGCCTCCTCACCCAGATTCAGGATAAGGTGCAAGCTATGGATGCCAACGCCAAGGATGCAGCACCACCTTCAGAGCCAGCAGTTCCCGCCGGAGCTGCCATGAAGGAAGATCTTGCTGCCATTGAAGAACTCCTCAAGGACGTCCAAGCTGCTGTTCTGCTCATGCAGGATCGCGAGACATCACCGCCTGCGCTCGAGGGTCTGGCCAAAAAGGAGGATACAGATGCGATCGAGACTTTGCTTGCAAATACCAAAGCCAAGATCGAAGAGCTTGTTCTCCCAGACCCTGCTACTACTGTCACCAAAGAGAACCTAGAAGATGTTGAACTTGTAGTCCGGACCACATCTGAGACTTTGGATGCACTTGCAAAGAAGTTTGA